CTTGTAAGCGAAAAAAAACAGAACAAAAACGTTTTTATATCGAACAAACTGACAGTATTTACTATTATTGCACAACCTAGTGGTGAAGACAATGTTCAATAAACGAGAAAAACAGAACAAAAACTTTTATATCAAACAAACTGACAATATTTACGATTATTGCACAACCTAGATGTGAAGACAACGTTCAATAAACGAAAAATCAAAACAAAAAACTTATATATCGAACAAACTGATAGTATTTACTATTATTGCACAACCTAAAGGTGAAGACAATGTTCAATAAATGTTAATTCCCTACAAAAACTTGTGAAGATTCTGCGAAATTTGCTTAACTTCATTAGGATTGTTTAACATTGTTTTGTTAAAATTTGCAGTAACTTTTAATACGAATCTCTGGTAATGTGTTTTTATGGTTTCTAAAAATACAAATATTAGAACTTATGTTGCATGTTTTGCGGAGAATAAGGCAATATTACTGATTTTTTAATGCGACGTTTAGGGATTAAATTAACATGTATGCTTTAATATCATATATGAAATATAAACACACCAGATAGAATAAAGTGGCTTGTTTCGAATTTGGCGCAAAGCTACTCGAGAGCTATTTGCGCTAGCCGTCCCTAATTTAGCAGTGATAGACTAGAGAGAAAGCAGCTAGTCAACACTATCCACCGCCAACTTTTGGGCTATTCTTTTACCAACACAGAACACATGCAAAATCAATATTAAAAACCTCAAACAAATATAATTAAAATAGGCATTTACCCCAAGACACAGAAATCAAGTGTTTACTATAGTTTAACCTAGGTAATCATCGTCAGTTCACTAAGTCATTAAAATAAAACTTGTTTTGAATGTTAGTAAGTCCAAAAAGAATTCTTTAAATATTAATGTGATTATTGAAACAGAAACTAAAATATTACACGTGTAAAATTCCTTGAAGTAAAATGTCTTAATTAGTAAATTTAATAGTAAACATTCAACCCTGCTCTATAGCTCTCTGAACTCTTTCTTGTTCTATTATAGTTGTTGTTTTTAAATATAACTTGTTTCTTAGAAATAACAAACAAACAAACTCGGGTTAGTGCAGTTAATATATCATGTTCAATATTTTCGCCCTGGCGGATTTGTCAAGATTTACACAGTTTTTACATGGTAACTTTGATTTCTGATATGTCAATGATAGCGTAAAGATACTGTCTTTTTTTTTACGTATACAACGACCTACTTGAGCTGTTTATTTCTGTATAAAAAAATACTTCTTGACCGTAGCAATTACACGGAAGTACGTTTAACGCAATTACACGGAAGTACGTTTAACGCTTTGCTGTTATTTAAAATTTTGCCTCATTGTTTTGTGATTTTTTTTAGATATTCGCTCATTCGAAAAATATAATAAAAGAACGGTATATATATATATATATATACACGTTATTTTTTTTCAGTACATTTTCTTATTATTTCAGTGACGGAAAACAAATAGGTGCACAGAGTCCGAACTTAAATGTATTTGTATCTATTTAACACACGAGAGATTATCTCTGAAACCTCTCACTAGGTGTCGTCATTTCAACTGCATACTTTCCGAAAGCTAGCATGCAAAGAAATATGGTAGTTCTCCAAAGTATATAAAGGATTTATTAAAACACCATTTGATTTCAATTAAAGCACACACACAGTTCTGCAAAAAAGTAATAGTTTCATGAAGCATGATCAGCGTTTATTCGTCACCCTATCTCGTTGTTGCGTATATAGAAAACACGTATTTAAAAGGTTTGTTAAACAATAAGCACACTAGGTTATAACGGTATTAAAACGTTCTACATGCAACGTAGTTCACAATTTTTTCTTTTACTTTAATTCAGTAAATAGCTTAGTCTGAGTCTTATGCGTATTTGGTTTAATTTCTTGTTCATATTTTAAAATAAAGTAATTCAT